CCCCGCCTCTTCCGATTTTGCCCCTCCCAACCACGTTCCAGCTCCAATGGCAACTCAGCGGCATGGCCCTCTTCTTCCACTTCGGCACCAACACCTTCACCGACTCCGAGTGGGGTTCCGGCCACGTCCACCCCACCCTCTTCAACCCCACAAAACTCAACGCATCGCAGTGGATAAGGGTCGCCAAAGACTCTGGCTTTTCGCGAGTCATCCTAACTGCCAAACACCACGATGGCTTCTGCTTGTGGCCCTCTGATTACACCAACTATTCGGTCCGTTCCACCAACTGGAGGAATGGGAACGGCGACGTCGTCGCCGACCTCTCCGCCGCCCCCAAGGACGCCGGCGTTGGACTTGGAATCTACCTTTCGCCCTGGGATCGCCACGAGTCCTGCTATGGAGACACTTTGCGCTATAACGAGTTCTACTTGGCACAAATGACCGAGTTACTCACTAGGTATCTAACTAAACTAGCTTTGCCTTTCTTCTCGTCTTTATTTATTTACTTATTTGCCAATTTGCTACCAATATGAATAGTAATCCCACATTGAGTAATGGGTATGTACCCTTCGAGTTCATAGCCGATTACAGTAAATTATTTTGATCGAGTATATGTGGAGTATTGTGTCATTTACTATCGACTTAGCTAAAACAAAGTCCAATAATTTAGTATCATAACTACATAAATTTACTGCATATAGGGTTGGATCTAATTATTGTTGGGATTTTTCCAAATACAAGTATATAAACTTTCCTACCGGGAGGTTACACTTTTGAATGCTTTGGAATGGTACAGTGTAACTCTTTCTAAATAAGAATTCATACCAGAATAATACAGTGAGAAGCTTGATGTAGTATTTAAGTTAAGAAGCTCTCCAACATAAGTAGTGTGTTTGAGATAGGTATGAAAATTAAACTGTGTAATCAATTATTGTCTTGATGAATTATAATCTTAATGAATTATTGGTTTGGATAAATTTGTTTAAAAAATGATTTTAAGATAAAAAACTATTGAAAAATAATCATAAACTTCAAATTTTCAAATACATAAATACAACTTATTTGTCAAGAAAAAAAAAATAGTCTTTTATAAATTTCAGCTGTTGTCATAAATGTATGGCTTATTTTGTAAACAATTTGGTTTTAAACGGTTGAAACGGGGAAATAATGTTTCCCGAACATGCTTGTCATGAACTAGTCTTTTGGATGGACTCGTATTTTGTTTAAGTCATAACTTGTGCATTAAGTCATAATAAACATGCATTTGATTTTTGATTTAATTACTAGTGTATTATAACCAGGTATGGAGAGATAACAGACATTTTTCTGGATGGTGCAAAAGGAGAAGGGGAGAAGGACATGAAATATCTCTTTGATAGTTGGTTTTCTCTGATTCACCAGCTCCAACCGGGGGCCACCATTTTTTCTGATGTGGGTCCTGACACAAGGTGGGTTGGTGATGAATATGGTGTTGCTGGGTCCACTTGTTGGTCTCTTTACAACAAGACGGTTTCTGATATTGGTAATGTTGATAGCCAGTGAGTTCTATTTCGTACAACACTCCTACTCTAGTTTCCCTTCCTTTTAAATTATGTTTGGTTTAAATGTTTCTTTTATTGTCAGTTTACTCACACTGCATCATGTAGATTATAATTAATGCTAATTGCATGGTGTATGATCTGTGCCAAGCGTTTTTCCTAGAGCAATTTTGAAAGTCATGGAATTGTGTCTTTCTAATTCTATTATTCTTCATGCATATCAGAGGACTGAACTTATTCTGATTCAGCTGATTCATTGATTTTAAATGAAGTTGAAGAATGTAAATTTCATTCATTAGTTCTATGTTGCATGTATCTTGGCAATGCATGAAGGTCTGGAGGATCATGTAGATGAGTAGAAACAAATGCTTGTGAAAAATGTGCTAGTCACTGGATTACATAGAGTAATGTAATGTAGACATTTACCAATGTTTTGATCATCTAACAGATACCAAAGAGAAGGAGACCCATTTGGTCCTGATTGGGTACCTGCTACATGTGATGTCTCTATAAGACCCGGTTGGTTTTGGCATGATTCAGAACTTCCAAAATCTGCAAGGAGTCTACTTGAGATCTACTATAAATCAGTTGGTCGAAACTGTCATCTGTTATTGAATGTGCCCCCAAACACCTCAGGTCTTATTTCAGATGAGGATATCCAAGTTCTTCAAGAGTTCACTGAACTTAGGAGGTCCATATTTTCTCACAATTTGGCTATAAATGCTGTTATCAATGCCAGCAGCATAAGAGGGGGAATTCTAGAGACTCACTTTAGTCCCTACAATGTTCTTAAAGAAGGTATATACACATATTGGGCTCCCGAGGAGAACCAATCTAAGTGGATATTGTACATAAATCTCCAAGAATTAGTATCCTTCAATGTTTTGCAAGTACAAGAGCCTATTCAAATGGGACAGAGGGTGATTGAGTTTCACCTTGAGGCATTGAGCCAACACGGTGTGTGGATGAGAGTTGCAAATGGCACCACAATTGGATATCAGAGACTGTTGCTGTTTCCAAAAGTGAAGTCTGAGTATCTGAAGCTAGTAGTTGACAAGTCACGGGCAGAACCATTGATATCATACTTGGGAATCTACATGGATCCTGTTACCGTTTTGAGAGAGACACCTGATAAAAAATCAGTAGCCTGTTTCAATGGAAGTCAAGTTCTGCAAACCACCACAACCAACAATTCCCTGAGTGCTGCAATGTAAACTTTTCTTAATTGTAAACATTTTACACGGAAAATACACGTTCAATAGTCTTTGCTCCTTTGTAATAATTCCTGTAATGTGGAGACAAGTAGAAGAGCTTGATCTCAATGAATTGGTATCTTTTATTTATTTATTATTATTCTGAAAAGAATGTGATGAGTGTATTACTAGTATAAAAGGATTGCCAAAAGTGATTTCTATTTTTTTTTAGCAAAATGTATAATTTAATATTAATGTATTTTCGTTGTTTTTATAAATAAATAAACTATCTACTTTTATATGATTATATCCCACTTTTTGGCACATTAGCAACTAATGAAGTAATTCACAAAAATTAAATAAAAATATCGACTTGTTCAATGATAATTTGAAAGTATAAAAAAAGGATAATCCCTTCCCTCGTACGATGTTTGGAGTGGGAGGGTGAAGGTAGATGGAGAAAGAAGGAAGCACGAGAAGGGTGACGTGCACGATTTTAGCCATAGACGACACTGATATGTTTTACAGAGTGTGTGCGGTTTGCGAAAGGACGATTTCCGCCCCCACTTGCCACTGTGGCTCCCCCAACCCTTCCACCAAACGACTCTTTCGCATCCTGGTCCCGTCTTTTTCTTCAACACTCGTTTTACTTTTCTTTAACATTCATAATCAACAATTAAGGTTGTTTTTTTGTGTAGATGTCGGTTGCCACAGACACGCAGGTTCTCACTGTCGTCTGCTTCGACAGGGTTGCCAGACTCCTCTTTGGCTGCTCCGCCGATGAATTCTTCCACTTTGCCAAACTTCACCCTTTTTCTGGTATCTTCTGTTACTTTTTCTTTTTTTTTCAGATATGCCTTTTCTAATCAAATATCCAAATAAACCATCAATTTAGTTTTTAAGGACTATTTATGAGAAAGTGCGATCTTTTATGTACTAAATTGATGCTTTATTCTAGGTTAAATTTCCCTAAAGTTTTGTGACACTACAGATAAATCTCATGATTTTATTATCTACTGAATTGTTTGAAAAACGTTATATCATCTCTCTATAAGATGTGTTGATGACTTCTTGTACTCGTTAAGTGCAATTTCAAAAAACGTTGTGTGTGACGGTTTAATTTACTTTTTATTCTATAAAATATTCTATTAACTTGTTATGTATTCGCCCTGTTTAATGTCTGCCACCAAGGTGTCACTCTAAATGAAATACTGGAGGGAGAGATGTTCACAATGACTTTATCCAAACCGATGAATGCCAATGCACAACATACAAGAGTTGCATCTGCTGTTCCTTTGAGCACTGCATTTAGACCCGCAATTCATCTTTTGAAACAATGCTACGGATCACCAAACGCTTCCTAGTCAAGTCACCATATTGATGTTTTCTCTTTTCAATATTGTAACTTTTTTTTTTCCTCTTCTTAATGCCATGTGTTTTTTGCACATGAATATAAAACGAGGTATTGCTGCACATATTTGTTCAACAATTGAAATTTGCTTGAATAAAATGAAATATAATAATGTTGTGCACAAATTTGGCTACAAGGTTAGATGATTTATTCCGGATCCTTCAATGCACAGTTTCATGAGTAAGAGAAAAAGACTAGAAAAAAGAAATATATATGTTCCACCCTCCCAATATACACGAGGAAATGTCATCAATATCTATGCAACAGGGGGCTGGTTTTGCTTTTGCTTTTGTGCTGAGTGGATGGATTATTTAGGAGAGACATTATCTCCACTCTTTGTCATTGTCAGTTTCCCTTGCGTCCAGCTTCTTAGCATCTGAAGGGCAGCTTTTGGTTGATCCATAGGTACCATGTGACCAGCTTCATACACCTGTTTTGTTTAATCCAAAAATAATGTCAGCAAAAGTGAATTAACAATGTCACGCTTAGCAATACACCCGTAAAGTCTTAAACACAAACCTTGAGGAAAGCGAGAGGTCCATGGCTTTTCAGTGTTCCTGCTTCTGCACCATCAACCAAAAATGGGACTGCACGAGACGCCCCAAACTCTTTTTGACCTGACCACTCCATTGCTTGAACCCACCTTGAATTCCCTGCTCAATCACAAACACAGTAATTGTGTTTAGATTCACGTTAAATGATCCAAAATCACATTGAAATATCAGTTAACGTGTTTTTAAGCAAATGTTCACATGTTTGGTTCTACGTTAAAGAATTGATTCTTTTGAGTTAAAACAATTTTAGGTATCTTTCACATGTTCACATGTTTTAAGTCTTACTATTAACTTGCTCTAAAAATAAAAGCATTCAAACATTAAGAATGCTAAATGACTTCCTTCTATGCCTTTTTGGTTCCAAATTATTTGAGCGTAGCAGTATATTTACCTAGCCAATTACATATGAGATCTTCTTCACCAGCATACACAAGCACCTTGATTCCATCCTCAAGTAGTGCGGGAATACCCACTTCCAGATTTCTCATCCAGTCTTGCATCATAGCACTATACACTGTGCTACTGCATGAAACAAAGTCCAAGTTCCCAACACCTAAAGCATCTCTCACTGTCTTTTCGTTTAAGAAATCCTCCATGTTAGAGAAGTCATAGCACAGATCTCCCTCACATTTCTTTCTAATGTCATAGTACTACAGTTAGAATAACAGAATGCGTTAGTAAACTCAAACTGCATGATTTTCATATCATCTTATCATAGCACTGTTTTTATTATGATGTCTTACATTAACATCGCCAGCTATGGACATGATCCGATTGAATATGTCATTGCAAACGTATAACGAAGATGTGCATGTTTCTCCACCTTCGATACCTGGCAAATCAAATACAAATTAAGAATGTCAATGAACATAAGTAATATGTGACAAGCTCGCTCAAGAAAATTAAAACTTTACCCTTGGGGGTTTTATTTTCGCTTTCTTTTCTGAGGCCACCCACTGTGTGGCTAAGAAATTTAAGAGAGAAAAGGGAAAAGAACTCCGGAAGTTATTCATACCGCAAGTTTTTATGGCCTTCTGACAAGATGGGACCAACTTGTTGATACTGTCATAATCAGTCTTTTTAATTAGTCCCCTGTCTAATGCAAAGTCTGTATATGCCTGGTACTGAATTTCAGGGTTGGTTAATCCATTACCAATAGCAAAACCCTGTTTATTAAGTGGATCAAACGAATCAATACAATATTTATAAATAAAAAAAAAGCAATTAAATAACCTTTTATAGTTATACTATAAATTATGAGATAGTATAAGACCTTCAGATTTATATGAATTCCTTCTTTTGCTTTGTTTCCTTGGTGAACCCTGGATGCAAGAGCTGGAATGTAGTGTCCAGCATACGACTCTCCAGTGATAAAAAAGTCATTCTTAGTGAATTGAGGGTGCTCCTTGAAAAATGCCTGTCATTAATGTAGAATTTAGTGTCTCTTATGCATTCACAACGGAAGAATCTAACATACAAGAAATTCTCCTGACATACAGTTTGAAATTTAGATGGTGTGTACGCCAACGTGTATTTTTAATTATTTGTAACTAACCAAATATGAATCAAGTTTAACCACTTAATTTTAGATAGTTTGAATTTTAGTATGAAGTTATATTTTTTTTTAATCTGTTATCAAATCAAATTACCTGCAAGAAGTCATACAAATCATTGCTAACACCCTCTTCATCATGGCGAATGTCACTGTCATCAGAAGTATAGCTGAACCCCGTCCCAGTGGGTTGGTCTACAAATATAATATTTGATGCCTACAAAACAAGAAAACACCGTATTGATGCCAACAAGAAAACAAATATAGTGTATCAACTTGATTCTTTGTAGTCTGTAGTATAAGAGTGGACATGGATATGCATAATATAATTTATTTTGTCCTGGGGGACATGGAATGAGCATAGCAAAACACAGAAAATTTGATAGCATTTTTAACAGTACGGTTATAAGCGAGTGATACAAGTCGAGGAATTCATTGCTACCTTGTCCCAGCCATTCTCATTCCACACAAGAGACAAGTTATTGGTTAACTGAAAAGGACCATTTTCGTAAAACAAAGCTAGTTCGCTGCTGCATCCTGGTCCTCCAGTCAACCATATGACAACGGGATCATCCTTACTGCTTCGAGATTCAAAGAAGAAGTAGAACATCCTGCAGAAGATAAAGAAAAAACAAAAAAAAAACTATTCAATACAAAGCAGGACCACATATTAGCTCCTAATTATTGACCAATGAGAAGCCTAAGAGGCTGCATTAACCAACCTATGTGACTACTAAACCAGTACTATGTCACAATTTAGGCTAATAGAAATTCAAACAGAAATTAAAAACTCTTAAAATATATTAGCTGTGTTTTAACTTTTAGCCATGTAGGAAAAAAACATTATGTTTGTTCAATATTTCTCTTTAGTCACTTAAAAATCAAAAGTAAATAAATTTTAATTGAGTTAGCCAAGATTCCAGAAACAGGAAACAGCTTTTTGTAAAACAAAATAAAGCGGTTGAAGTGGAACACTTATTTAACGCTAATCAATCATCTGCTGCACATTTTCTAATTCACATGACATGGCTTCAATGATAGCTGACAAGAATTTTAACTTTGATTGCTTTTAACCAAAATATCCCTCTTCCTCTAGGCACTTTACTTTTGCCACCTAACCGAATAAAGCAGTACGCAAGCTAAACAACCCCTTAAAAACACAGAAAAGAATTCTCTACCAAATTATATTTCTGACTTGATAACAACCGTTTCTAAACAAGTGGTGCAAATTTTTTATCAAAAAAAAAAAAATGCTTGTCAGAGTTTGCATCTTTACCTTGCAGCTTTGGAACGAGGAAGGCGATAATAGCCTGCATGGTGGCCAAGTTCCTCAACAGAAGATCCTGGAGCAGCAAGACTTGGGAAAGTGAACCTCTTCTCCACAATGTTTCCCGAGACAAGATGAGGGTCATTCTCGACAGTGTTAATAGGATCTTTTGGAAAGAGGTTAAGGCCTCTTATGAGTTTTTCTGCTGTTGAAGAAAAACGAAGGTGATTGCTTGTGGAGAAGGAGGGTGAAATGGAGATGAGGAAGAGGAACATAAAAGACAGAGAGGTTTTGAGGAACCTTGAGGATGATGCCATGTTGTTTTCGTTGGAAAAAAGTGTGGCAATGGCTATGAATATATAGTGCTCGCTACCTTGGTTGATGAGTGTAGGGA